CGTACGCAGGCACAAATACTTGAGATTCTTATCGAGAAAAAAAAAGGTTTTACACACTAACGCTTCAACAAAGAAATCTTGCTTCAATTAACGAAGGTTCGTAAGTTTCTTCAAGTCTGCGTTCCCTTTAAATATCCTAGAATGGATAAAGATAGACTTCATTTTCATAAAATGACATAATACAGGATATTTTACATTTTTCTGATGGTACAGTCCAACCTCTTTCAATTGAACTCAAGGGGCCTGCAAATAAAAATCGAGTTGGGGAAGCAAGTAATAGTTCCATGGGAGAGACAAAGAAATTGTGACGTACTCTGGGCCTTGAATTCCTTCTTAAATGAGTTAACAGGATGCTGAACGTGGGAGGCGACGGCTCATTTGGCTAATTATTCTTTCACTTCCTTCCAAAACACATCAAGTTACATTCTTATTGCTTTCCGCTTTCCTGTGTCAATAAAATAATGGCCAAAAGGCGTTATTTTTTTTTATTCGGGCGTTGATCGAATTCAAGCACAAACATATGAACAGAGTCTTAATGAGATTCCAACGTGGTGCGAAAAATTTTGAAGAGCCACAATAAATTCGTTTCAAGGTACGGACAAAACTTTCGAACTTGGACGATAATTCCTAGTGTAGTACAGTACTTCTACTGTACTTCAAATTCCGAAACCCTGGGACGTTATCTAAAATAATTACACCTCTTCGCAATACAATACATTACATACAATACGCAGTACAATACATTTCGTATACGCAAAGTTACCTGATTTTCAGAGGCCATTTCAAATAAAAAAAAATAAAAAATGACCTTCGTCCCAAAAAAAAAACATTTCCTCCCTCGAACGGAAGTTTTCGACTAAAGGAAATGTTGCGATCAATCCCAACACGGATCAAATTCAAGCGCAGCGGACGCTTCACAAAAGAAAACGAAACCGGCAAACGATCGCCAATTATTTCAGCAACGCAAAACAATTGAAAAAAAGAAGAAAAAAATCCGATGAAAGAAAACTCAAAGAACAGCGTTTTGCGAAATCGACCCAGATTCTGATAAGAATAGAGGGAAAAGGGGGGAAAGAACAGGGATTGTTACACAAAAAAGAGCATAGAATTCCCCAAGTTTCCGGTCGAGCAATGCTGGACCTGCATTTCCCCACCATCATCATCATCATCATCATCATCATCTTTGTCTCAAGACCGGCTCCCATTCAAAACAGCGACTCGCAAAACGGGGCTCAGACTGTTGCCAACAGCTGAGTAGGAAAGAAGGGGGGGGGGGGGGGGGAGGAGGGAGTTTCATCGAAAATTGTCGGCTGTTTTATAACAAAAGAAATCCTCCTCTTCAATTCCATCCATCCACCCTCTCTCTCTCTCAAGCCACGGAAAAGGTAACTCTGCGCAGTGCAACATTAGAGAGGATGACTTACTGTTTCCGTGGGAGGATTATAATTTTTCTGAGTCACTTGTGAAGCAGAGCAGTTAATTTTAATATTTATAGCCCCGAATTGTTGTGCGGGGAATTGAGTTTGAAATATATTATTGAGGCATCTCTAGGGTTACTGTTCTATACTTTCAAGTTACCGAATGTTCTCGCAATGAGTTGGGAACGGAAAACTGCCTTCTGCATTGTTAATACAGTACCATATATGCAATATTTTCAGAATGGCGATCAAACTACTTGTTTGAAAGAGGAACTACAGTATCTACTCTACACGTTTAATGCAAGTTACCGAGAAAAAAAACTACCCCGCGTGATGTCGAATTGCTATTTTTATTCTTGCTCGTTCATGCTTGGACTTAAATCCAAAAATAAGTTAATGTGAGGGATGATTCGATAGTTTTCTGCATGTAGAAAATACAGTAATTTGTTCGCATGTCTGAGTTTCGGAAATGTTTAATCCACCGTTGTATCCATCGACTAGGAAAATTCCGTTCATACGTTCAGGATTTCCAACAATGCTACCCCGACGGGCAACTTCAAAAAAAAAAAAAGACGCAATCAATTGAAGGCATTCACGGAACAAGGCAGACGTGGTGTTCGTGGAATAAAAAAAAAAAAAAAAAAAAAAAAAAAAAAAAAAAAAAAACTGCCGAGGGTAAAGCCTCTACGCAGAACGTATTTTTCATACTACATTTCCAGTATCAAAACTTCAAAGATATAAATGATTCGGCGTCACTTGTTATGTCGGCAAATTCATTAGATTCGCGGAATGGCGGGGGAACCATCTTATTTCTGAAGTGTTCAGTGTTCAGATTAACTTTCGACTCATTTAATTTTGATTTCGAACCCGCGTAACCAATGACCAAGATGGTACAGTAATTCTAACTCAATAAAAACGGTACCATAATATTTTGTTGCAACTATGTCGATTTTAAACCTGTTCGAAGAGAGAAACTTGCCGGGAAAAAACTTCTGAATAAGTCATAACCCTAACATACTTAGCAAATGCGAACCTAGCCTACACTCTTATGACAAATTTTACTGTTTTGATGCTCGCTTTATTCAAACCTTCATCTCTTCATGTGCTCCTAAAATTTTCTTTTCCTTTTAATTGAAATTTTGTTTCCCTTTCTGAAGATTAATGTGAATCTTGCACTTAATTACATCGGGTGCAAGTCCATCGTATCCCTAAACGAATTTTTGCTTGCGTGTAATCGTAAAAGTATGTTTTCGAGCGGGAAGGTTGACTAGGACTTGACTGATAGCGTTCCCTGTACCATTGTGTGAATAGTAAAATTTGTGTAAGCGCGGGATCGAGCAAAAGTTGCAATTTTTTTTTGTCAAGATCGCAGCCAAATTGTATTCCACGAACACCACGTCTGCCTTGTTCCGTGAATGCCTTCAATTGATTGCGTCTTTTTTTTTTTTTTAGCAAAGGAGAATGGTTTTTGCCTACCTTGACCTTGATCGTATGATTGCTGTTGTTGCAACAGCCCGTGAAGGAGCGCAGTTATTACAAGCCTGTATACTTTTTGCCATTTTTGCGTCAACAACATCGCCCTGAAAACTAATTCGCATCTTCACTGGTCAATTTGTGCGAGTTCCGGAATTTCTCGGCAAATGTTCCGTTTACTATAATTGTGCTAATGTTGTCGTATGTGTTTCCGAGATACGAATGTTGAATTTCGTGTGAAGTAAAGGTTAAAGCCCAAGAAATGGTTTTCTTCCATAGTCTACTTTTTCATTCGAGTTTAGCGTCGCTTTCGACCAACTCAATCTAGCATTCTTGAATTAAATATTAAAGCATCGAATCAAACATTCCTCTTTTCTTCCCCGACCGAGCTGTTATTTTCCGCATTACACATGTTGAAATACCTCGGAAGGCGTTTTCTTCCGGCCTGTCGGCGTGGCAAATCAGCTCGCTTGGACGTAATTCCTGACCCGATGCCGCCGGGGGAAAAGCTCGATCTTTGTCTCATTTTTTTCGACCGAGCCCAATAATGCGGGCTTCGTTTGTGTTTATACTGACTAGCTGGCACAGGAAGGGCGGGGATACGTGGTGGTGGTGGAAAGAAAGAGGAAAAAGAAAAACAGTAATACTGTAAAACAAAATCGCCGCGTTCTGATGCGGTCCGTTGATTGTTGCTCGGGTGAAACCGCTATTCCCAGCCAACAACTTCGCCGTACTGTTTGGTTGCGAGAGCACTACGAACATTCAGAGACGAGTCACACATGCGCCAAGAGGGCGAAAGGACAATCAGCCAGAAGCTAGAGGAGCGAACGTTCTTGCAAATGATAGTCCGCCAAGAAATGGCGAAGAAAAATGGCAGTCACGCGAGAAACGACGCCGAACATATATCCCTTCCTCTTGAGAACTTGGTATGGTATTCAAAGCGCAAAAAATATATTGACCTAGGCATGCGAATAGAAGAAGCTCGAACGGCGATGATCCGAGGAAGCTCGTAGGCAGAATAACATCGACCAAACAAAAATGCACAAGAGACTCCCACGTCCCTGAAAATTCGGCACGAAAACAGACAAAGGATTCAAGCTATGTTCGCGATTTCACGTAATATACAGTACGTCCGACTAATGCTTCACGAAGTTCATCAGTACAGAAAAACTTCAGTAATCTACCGGTATTCATCTGAACTTTAGTCAATCCCAACCATTTTCCCTCAGAAAGTCGAACTACAATATCTCTCGAAAATCCCGTCCATACGCTCAGGATTTACATTAATGCAAACCCCGTGCGTGCAAATTCGAGAAAAAGTCAAACTATCTCTAGCTACCGGTTCCGACACTATTCCCAAGACCAGCAATAACGACATCTCCAGAAAAATGAAGGCTATCGTGTATTAAAAACAAAAAAGAACAAATTTTAATCGACCATCGAATGATGTTTTAATTTACACTTATACAGTAATGCATTAGTGGAGTCCTGTATAAAATTAGATAAAATAACATCCAGCGAGAAAGCTGGTCTCGTAATTTCTAAGAGACTTGAATGGTTTCGTGCGAGGGTTGATTTTCCGTACGTCCGTTTATTATTCCCAAACAGCGAGCCTCCGCTCGTCAGTACTGTAGTACGCATTTTAGGTTCGTCTGAGAATTTTATTTTTATTTTTTCAAAATTCTTCGTCCGGACAGAAAAGATAAATTTCCGGTGACAGCGAAAGGCAGTTTCCCTGCATGATGATAGAAAAATACAAGGTATTATAATCCTGATGCACATCTGAAGCACTTCGAATATACTGTACAGTATTCTTTAGTTAAATAGCGTTTCCAAAGGCACACACGAAAGGAAGTCTTCCGTGCTTTTTTTTAATGCTACAAGAAAACCATTAGTGGCGTCAAGGAAGATGCGATTTATGTTCTGTAACGCAACAGCTGCATAAAAAAAAACTGGAAACGTTTTCCAGAAATCAAAAAAATATTACGGAATACGGCCTTGAACTGCTTGATCAACTCGCGAGTCGAATGTGAAAACAGCATTTTACTGCTTCGAAGCATCCCGCTCCATTTGGCTCCTAAAAACCTTTTTTTTCCCCCAGTGTCTGGGTCAGATTGCTGAAGGAAAATCTCGATACGGGACGTGCGCTGGAAACCGAATCATTAGTTCCCCCGCGCATTCCTTGACCCGACACCCGGAACAAGATCCCTCCACATACACATGCTGCGGTTCAAGGTCCTCACACACGTGGAATGTGAAAAGCTAAAAACAAAACAAAAATGGTGGAACAGTTTCGTGCACATTTTTCTTCGGTCCTCGTGAAGGAACGAAATTTCCCACTTGTTCGAATAAAAGGGGACGTCTATCCAGCATGGAAACAATTAAATTTGGAGATGCACGGCGATCGGAACTTTCAATCCTCGTTTTCTGAAGCAGAGGAGTTAATCGGTCATTTCATTAATCCACAGTGTACTGTCAACGTCTCGCCATAGCGTTATGCATTATGCATACATTATGCATGTCGCTTGGGACATGCATAATGTAATCATTGTAATGTACCGTACAGTACAGTACTTCATTTTGGGGTCTGAATCTCTAGAACCATATGATTTCCATTAAAGAAACAATACTAGGCGAAAACGGATGCGTGCATGAATTTGCTTACTTAATTACACGACAGCTGAGGATTGCAAGAATATTCGACAGGTTTCATGTGAACTAATTGAAAATTGTAGGAGGTATTCCTTCACTTTATTGCGTTCGAGACTCAATTCAAATTCGGCAGTTCCACTATTCGAGATAGACCATAAGCATTTACCTTGGAAAAACACCTAGATCCATCTAATGCAAGAGAATCAATAGATTATAAGACGTAACCTTCTGTAAAATCAGATTTCGGAGGAAAAAATTAGTTCTAATTTTCATAGAAATGCGGCAGCAATTATGGCAGTCCTTATTCTCTGCCCAGTCACCTTCAGAAACAGAAGCTATCTTTGCACGCGAACGAAAGATATTTTCGAGGCTCCACAATTAGGCATAATAACGTCAAGGAACAGTTCGTACACGAAGATCATTTGTCTTGAGCAGAAGTTCGAATACAAGAAGAAAATAAACCCTCACCAACAAAAACTCATTCGTTCATCAGGGTTCATACGCATAAAGCAAGAAGTCACTGAATGAAGTAAGGTACGATTTTTAAAATATTGGGAAACGCCACTTTTGCCAAAAGTTCAACACGTATTATTAACATATATTATGAAAGAACGACTAGTACTTTCTCATTTCACACTGCATAATTTTTTTCATAAATTAGAAACCACGGTGCTCCTAGAGAAATCCGTGGCAATAAATCAAGATTCGGCCTCGTTCTTGACATGTTATTAAGACAGGACAGATAATTAAAATTTGGCATTTCGCTGACTTCAGAGAAAATCGAACCAAACATTTAATCAAACTTGAATGTTTCAACACGTAAATGGTAGTTTTTGGATGAGGTGCATCAAAAAACGAATCATGAGTACATGACAACCAACATTAAAGACGGAAGTCCTCGTAAGTTACAGCACACTACGGGTAGTAAATTCTTCTCGTAGGAAAGTCACCTTAAAAATCGCCTAGGCATCTTTTAAGAAACTCACGAAGGCTTGCAAAACCATCACTTATTTTCTGCAAAAGCGTTTGGATACGCTTTAAGAAACTCGACAAGTCCTGCAAACCATCACTAATTTTCAAGGCGACGTTCGCCTTGAACTCTTTCAACAGAAGAATGAAAATGGCTGAGAATAAATACCTCGTGAAAAGTGTTACGAACTTCAAATTTATCAGCCATCAGAAGGCGTTGACAAACTTCCCTTCAAAAAAAAAAAAAACCTGTCACGTACAATACCATTCTACGTCGTTCAATCAATTCAGTCATTAATACGAACTCAAGACTAAGCTGACGAATAGATTACGATGCAGAAAACCGAGGTGGGGAACGCATACTAGGGTTCTGACTATTTATCGTGTTTCGATCAATACGTAGGAATGAGGAACATGGCCAACCGTCAACACAGACGCTATCGCAAACCAAACGAACAGTGTGGTGAACTCCCCAGGTCCAAGACGAAATTTCGCGAAAGATTCAGGTCAACAGATGCAAATATTGTCAAGTATACATCGGTGGATGTCCAGCACAAGGGTGAACAGCGGTTTATTTCTTTCGAACGTCAGCCTATGAAAACTGATTCAGACTGGGAAAGGACACATCGAACGTTATTGGGGTCGGAATGCTAGATTGTGCAAAAGCTGTCCACGTCAACTTTAAAAAGGATTCACTAGATCGATGCGATACTCATTGAACCACGAACAAAAAATCAACAAGCGACATATTTTGTCGCAGGACGATATCCGGCAGATGCCTACGAGAATCCGTCAGCCGGATCAAAGAAAAATTGGGTTGCTTCTAATGACGGCAAGAATACGTTATAGATTACAAACACTTGAGTCTAAAAATCTTCGGCGAGTCGGAGTCTATAAAAACATCAAAATAAAAAGACGTTCACTCACCATCAGTACGCTTGATGTCCACATTCGTCCCAATGTTGAGATTTCCCAGACCATTTAAGTGGCGGGTATCGACAAGCGAAGCCATTCTTCTTTTCTCAAACACAAGATAGCATGAAATGTATCACTAAAATCACAGTGCAACGTCTGGAGGATGTTCTGGCCACAGATGCATTCCTAGAGCTACAGATTCGCAATAAATCAAAGAACCAGAGAAAGAAAATTTAAATGTGCGGACCCCCAACGAAATTTCGCGCATGTAGAGGTGACAGAAACATCCGAACAGTGACCACGAGCACATTTCGTCACGATATTTTCTCCATCGGAAACCCCCCTGCGGCAAAAGGGGAACACTTGGAAAGTCATCTCGTGACATCCGTAGAAACTATGCACCGGAATAATCTTTCGGGAATCGTAACTTGAATTACTATGTTCTGCATAGAAACTTGTCAAGGTACATCTACATGTTGTGAAAGAGATTTACAAGGTTGTGCAAGAAGTGCGAAGCCTGCTGCGATTACGAAGATCGCGTCGCACGACCTCCCGCCCAACATTCAACCTCTCAATTTTCCGGGGAACTGAGAACTGATGCTCAGCGCCATTGCTGCCGTGGCCAACGTTCCGCGAACTCCGTCCAACGTTACCAACATGTAAAATCGCTATGGAACATCGTATGATCACAACTGTCTGCAACGAGTATATAAAGGACCGGCGACTTTTTAAATTAAGGCCAAATAATTTGAGATTCCTTCATAAATTTTCCACAGAATCGTTGAAAGGAAACAAGGTTTAGTGCCCGATGATCTTGCAAATCGCGACATTGGTAACCATGTTATTGTACCGCGTTAGGAACAGCTGTGGGATGTTCACTCCATTACAATACCAATGCTAGAGAATTTGAGTGACATCTACATTTCATAGGTTTTTTAATGTCTTCAACGTTGTAGTTGATATCGTAGAGAGCGGACTTCGTTTGAAAAATTGACATTTGAATCACCGAGACCGCTACTACTGTACATGAGAAAAGAATTCAAAATGGAAGCTAGTGACATCTCTGAAAAATAATTTTCTCTCGAAAGCTAAGCGTCGTGAACATGTGCCACTGTCAGCACATATTCGCAGGTCAAGCCGTCAAGCTTTTCCTCTCCCTCGATTCGAACGTTTGAAACAAAGGCGTTCGGAGGGAACGACTGTTTTCATAACATAAAAAGGATTGGCTTAATCCTCGAAAATTGCAATAAATAAATTTGCAACCATCATGAAATCAGCTGCAATTTTCGCAGCGATTGTTTGCTGCTCTGTTGGGGTTTTGGTCAACGGTGCGACTATTTATTCCGGAGACACGGTGGGCGAAACTAGTTTCAGCTTCGCAGACGGAATAGTGAAGAGTGTTGAGGATCATCATTCAAAAGTTGAAGAAGATTCAGCCGACCTACGGTGAGATTTAAAACTGTTAATCAATTTCTACTACACGGCGGAATCTGTCGTAGCAATCTAGCGTTCATTTCCATGATTTGGATACACGCGTAATATATATTTTATCTACAGTATTTCAAAAGTATCATGCAACAGCATTTCATTGAACGTCTAACATTACTGTATATTAAAATGATGTATTTTACTGCGAACATTCAAATCATGTTATTGACGAATTTAATTGGCAAAACTATTCAAAAATGGCTAAAATGAAAATGTATGTTTTAGCTATTTTAAAAGTCTCGTGCAAGAGAATTTAATTGAGCGTCTGATTTACATACAATACAGTATTTTATTGTGAACACTTGATTGTGTTATCGGCGAATTTTATCGGCAAACATATTCAGAAATTGTTCAAAATGGTGAATTCTCTCTTTGATTTTGATCACATACAATTTTGTTAGAAGGATGTGCTGGTGATTATACAATAAATATGTTAATTTTCCCTACTAAATATTGCGGAATCATAATTATTAAACTTTATAATATATTGTTCATGTGTAGATTATTAAACTCGAGAATTCGAATGACCATTTTTACGGCAAGGTGTTAAACTCATGCATATATTCATTGATTTTTAAAAAAATTAATTCGCAGGGAGAAGCGATCATATGGAGGATATGGTGGAGGTGGATATGGTGGAGGAGGATACAAAGCCCCACCGATTATGATTTACAAAAGACCGGCAAGATACATTGGAAGCTACTCGAAAAGCTATGGATACCCATACAGACTTCCATTCTTCTACTTCCACAAATAACGCTGAAGACCAAGTTCATCAACGCAAAAAAAAAGATCCTTTGGCCTATATGTGCGGAGTGAAATTGCGAGATTGCCTTAAAATTAATTTGAAATCACTTTAATGATGAACCAGAAAATATTATATTTGTTGAAGGATTTGGCGGATTCATATACTCTTTGCCATGTAAAAAATTATGAAGAAAATTTCAGATGCATGCGCTGAATGTGCTATACAAAATATCAAAAATTTAAATAGATTATAAACGTTATGAAAACGCAAACCTTCCATCCGCAGTCACTCCATTCACTGGGTGCGAAATCAAATAAGGACAAAATTTAGATTTACTTTGTTGAAAACACAATTCAGCTATGTTAAAATGGAGAAATTTTATCTAAAGTAATATGAATCGTAGCTATAAAATAATAAATAAATGGTAGAATTAAAAAGGCTAATTTATCACAGAAACATAATTATAAGCATCAAATGATAGATTCAAACGATGTAAAAATATTCCATGACTTTCAAAAATGTTTCCAAGAGTACAATAAATATTTTATAAGAACATTTATGCAAAGCACAAGAGCCAGAAAAATTATTTAATTTAGAGGGAAACGATTCGACTCAAATTACATTTATGAAACATCACATGCAAATTCATTTTCTCTCAAAGCATCGAAGTTCGAGTTAAGTTTTTTGTTTTCGTAGCCCGTTAATGAGAGTTATACTGCAGCATATTGATACTGAATTTATGATTAAATATTATTCTTGATCTGAAAGAGGGAGTCGCCAAGCATAAATTCTTATAAAGATGACTCGAATTTTCCACAAAAAATACCCTGATCACTTTTGTAAAGTCTACCGACTTCTTTACATTTAAAAAATTGCATTTCCAGCGCATTAAAAGTAATTTTATATAAGATGTACCGTACTATAAAAGTATAAATAAACTACAAAATTGAACTGGATGGATTCTTTTGGCATTCAGTCACCTATGCGATTAAATTCAATCAGGATACTGTACCCAGTTGTCCAGCATGTCCACCTAGACTTGATACTTGAAATTTGTATTTGAACTTGAGTTTTCTTGAGTCTATAATTTCACCTACGCCATTTTACCTTAAATCCTAGAAGCGAAATTCTAAAAAATATAACAAGGCAAAACATGTGAAGGATGATAGGAACAATTCCTAGAATAATTATAAGATAAAAATATTCCAATTTTGCAAAGTCAGCAATCTCGGTCTTTCGCAGCTCGCGTTTGCTTGAGTGTCCAGAGTTACGTCGAGTCAAATGGAAACTCTTTTACNTTCATCAACGCAAAAAAAAAGATCCTTTGGCCTATATGTGCGGAGTGAAATTGCGAGATTGCCTTAAAATTAATTTGAAATCACTTTAATGATGAACCAGAAAATATTATATTTGTTGAAGGATTTGACGGATTCATATACTCTTTGCCATGTAAAAAATTATGAAGAAAATTTCAGATGCATGCGCTGAATGTGCTATACAGAATACAGAATATCGAAAATTTAAACCAGAGTATAAACGTTATGAAAATTCAAACCTTCCATCTGCAGTCACTCCATTCACTGGGTGCGAAATCAAATCAGAGAAAAATTTAGATTTACTTTGCTGAAAACACAATTCAACTACTGTATGTTAAAATGGAGAAATTTTATCTAAAAGTAGCATAAATCGTAGCTATGAAATAATAAATAAATTATAGAATTAAAAAGGCTAATTTATCACGGAAACATTATTATACGCATCAAAGGATGGATTCAAACGATGTAAAAATATTCCATGACTTTCAAAAATGTTTCCAAGAGTACAATAAATATTTTATAAGAACATTTATGTAAAGTACAAGAGCCAGAAAAATTATTTAATTTAGAGGGGAACGATTTGACCCAATAAATTTGATTTATGAGACATCACATGCAAATTCATTTTCTCTCAAAGTATCGAAGTTCGAGTTAAAAATTTTTTGTTAGCCCGTTAATGAGAGTTATACTGCAGCATATTGATACTGAATTTATGATTAAACATTATTCTTGATCTGAAAGAGGGAGTCGCCAAGCATAAATTCTTATAAAGATGACTCGAATTTTCCACAAAAAATACCCTGATCACTTTTTTAAAGTCTACCGACTTCTTTACATTTAAAAAATTGCATTTCCAGCGCATTAAAAGTAATTTTATATAAGATGTACCGTACTATAAAAGTATAAATAAACTACAAAATTGAACTGGATTGATTCTTTTGGTATTCAGTCACCTATGCGATTAAATTCAATCAGGATACTGTACCCAGTTGTCCAGCATGTCCACCTAGACTTGATACTTGAAATTTGAATTTGAACTTGAGTTTTCTTGAGTCTATAATTTCACCTACGCCATTTTACCTTAAATCCTAGAAGCGAAATTCTAAAAAATATAACAAGGCAAAACATGTGAAGGATGATAGGAACAATTCCTAGAATAATTATAAGATAAAAATATTCCAATTTTGCAAAGTCAGCAATCTCGGTCTTTCGCAGCTCGCGTTTGCTTGAGTGTCCAGAGTTACGTCGAGTCAAATGGAAACTCTTTTACGCGTCTTTCGGTTTGAATACAAATTATCGAGTTAAACATTTTCAATTTCTCTGGATTGATAAACTCTGCCTTAAGAATTTTCGTCTCTTTTTTTTTTTTTGCGGTTTGACTGGTAAAAAATTCGCGGGAAATTACTCCGATGCAACGTTTTTTTCCAGCGCCGTTGTTCCTACGTGTGAAACAACAGGCGTCGATGAGAAGTATACACATATTCGTACGCAATGCTTCGATTTCCTTTTAAAGTGTGAATTTTGATATTACGGGAGCGTTTGAAAAAAATGCATTTCCGCCGGTGTTTATTAAATTTATCTTGCAGTGCTGGGTTGCGAATTATTCCCGATGCATAGAATCCTCCTTGTGGGGATTCTAGCGATATTATTGTGGGCAGCTAATGTGTCTCCGGCTCCCACAAATGGCGCTGAAATCGACCTCGATGGATCCAGTTTTGATTTCGAAACTAAAAAGGTCACTGGCGTGACTGAAAGTAGCGAAAGGTACCGTATTGTAATTAGCGTTCAATAAATAGGTACTGTAATGCAATAATACACGAACATATATATATGAAGAAATAATTTGTGAGATTGTTCATGGCAAACAGACTTTGAACGCCATAAGCTTGGCTTATTCGTTGTTTCACTTTGAATGAAATGCGTTATATTTGACGGTTTGAGGCTTTTTCATGTGAAGTTTGCAGAACTCTGTTGTGAGTTAAAAGCGAACACTCATTCACTCAATTATTGATAACCCAATCAGCGTCATCGTCGAGTTGCTCTACCAATTGAGAAATCGATATTTCTTTTCGCGTCGACAGGAAAACATAATATAATCTAAAAACTTTAAGATGAGAAAATGAAGAATATCATTTTTAAAATATTACGGTACATGTTTTGCAACAGGGAATGGCTGGCTTTAATCCTCAAAGATTAAAACGGTTTTCGATGCAGCATTCGAAATATTCTTCTTTTAATTTATTGCGCGAATAAAACACGTTGTAGTTGCGTTATAAAATGAGGGATCCGTTTTTTTTTCCTTGGTAGTCATGTTCTTGATTGCTCTTTAAATATGTTTCAGGCGGTTGGTTACCATGTTTATTTCACTTTTTAAGACCATGTTTTGGTTGCTAATTTTCAAGGCCGTATAATTTGTATTCGCAATGTGAACTAATGGCTTTGTTCTTCGTTTTTGTTTTTTTTCAGGGAAAAGCGAAATTATGGGATGCAACAGGCGCCTGTTCAAACTCCGGAAATAAACATCAATCCTTTTCTTCCGATTATCCCGCCAATTCTGCCGCCGTTCCCCCCATGGTGGCCGCCTTTCCCTCCGATTTGGCCGCCGTTTTTCCCACCATTCAATCCCTTTTGCAACTTCCTCGGACGAATTTTGATGCTGTGCATTTAAATTTATTTTTGCGTAATTTCGTTTTTAAAAGCGGGATTCTTCAGCTCCACTTTTTGGACCCTGAGCAAAAGTGGTGTGCAACCCTAAGCAAATTAGCACATTATACTTTTTTATTTTGGTGCTGAACTAATGCTAATTCAATCACGTGGAATCGAGCATTTATCGATGAATATATTTCCCCGCCTTCATTTCAATTATTTCATATCGATTACACTAAAATGTTTTAAAGTCGGGCTTATGCAGTAGACGAAAACGAACCTACTTCCGCCATTTCTTCGATTTATTTATTTATTGCGTCTTGCTTTTTGTAATCGTCATATTAATTCAATTATTCGACTGTCAAAAGGATACATTTTGGGATGTTGACCGCAGCACCTATTTTGGCATCAGTAAAAATAACATCCAAGTCACACAAAGAGAAGGAAGTCCCTCTTTGCTACAGGTAATTTTTATAATTAGCTGAATGGATTGGAAAGTGATGGGAAAAGTACTACAGAATATTTCTTACATAGATCTTATGGTTGGAAATATCTGTTTCTTGAAATTATGCCTAATAAAAGTCAATTTTTCTAAAATGTATCGGCAATTTTATCATGCAATGTCCTTATGTTGAGTCAGTGGCCTTATGCCGGGCCTTTTTATGATTTTTTTTATTGAAAAGTAGATATCCCTATGTCGAATTGTCCCCATGTTGAGGTGTCCGCATGTAGGGGTCTCACTGTATATCACTGGAAAGTCAGATGGCGAAATTGACTTTAGCATGGTGAAAGCACCTTTTTCCATGTAGTACAGCGTTTATTTTTCGTGAAAAAGTGGATGCCATTTGGGGATGGAAGTTTTTTTTGGGATTCTGTTCATTGGGCTTTTATCTAAGACACGTGTTGTTTTGAATTATCTCTCTTACAGGAATATGAATAAAACGTTACGTTGGGAAATTTAACATTTCAAAAGGTGAATAAAACAGCTTATAATGCATTTCACGATTAATCTTTTGTATTTCATGAACGTTTTTGGTTTCGATCGTGATATTCGTGAAATATAGAAAATTCATCAAGTTTAAATTATAAAAAAATCAAAATTTATAATAAAAACGTGTATTAATTGAACAATGATGTGCAATACTGAAAATAAGCTTCGAGTCGATGATTTTGGAAGAAAAATCGCAATTTGAAGGAATCTTTGATAGACGGTAGTCAATGAGAATAATATGAAGTTACTTTCTCAACAGGACATTTCATCACACGCAAATATAGATAAACTAGTTCGGAAAAAATCTTCTGATGAATAATTTTACAGAAAAACACTGCTTTCATACTTTATTCTATGACAGACAAACACACACACGCAAATGCTGTGCCTCATTTTACTGCGTTCAGCTTTTCCGACGCATTTTACAATGAATGAAAATCTAGCAACCATTTACAGGCGGGGAAGTCATTGATTTTTGCTGCATTTGAAGCTTTTTAGTTCTTACACAACTTGATAGGCGAAAAATCCTTCTTTTCAAGGAAAAACATTAAAAAACTATATTCAGCAAGACAAAACGTAGCGCATTTTTCTTCTATTATTAAATACGGCGTTCAAAGCTAACTGTGCCATTGTGGCACAGCTATTTAATGAAATATGCTTTTCATTAAATATTTCGAGAGCAGCTTCAAAATGTAAGGCAAAAATATTTGGCATTAATTCTCACGTATTTTTCAAGTTTTTAAAGACTGATCGAGTCAAATAAAATGCAGGAAAAGAACCGATGCGAAGGATATTCTATTTCGTTCAGCTGTTAAATTAAGCGTTAATTACCAGTAATTCCTATACCGCCTTAAAATTACGACCTACCTTCAAACAGGATCCCACATAAAACGACCACAATTTTCATCCGCATTAACATTATAGGAAAAAATTTACATCTCCGCGGGAAACTCCATGAAATAAAGGTCAATGAAGTCTCTCTCATGATCAAATAGGAATTTGCCATAATAAATCTCAACCTAATTTTATATAACGTCATCCGACCTCCACCGCCTGCTTCGAACTACTGTACTAGCAGTTTACTACAGGGTCATTAAATGCGCCAATATAAATGTGTGCGAACATAAAAAGTCGTCATGATTTTTCACTCGTCAATAATGAAAGAATACGTAAGAAATATCAGTATTCTCGTGAACTTGTAGCGATTACAGGTGGACTCTCTCTATATACACTACCAAAATTCAATGAACCAGAAGACATTTCCTTTTCGAGAGATTTTCGCTGTAAAGAACCCTTATACATATAGCGAGAAAATCCTATGAAAAAAATCCGTTATACATGGAAAACCGTTGTAGAAGAGCTCATATACCTGCGTATGTCATACAGCTGTCCAACAATCAAAAGGAAGTTTAAATTTAAAAAAAATTAAGGTATTACCATTCTGAATGCGACGTACAGTATATATGTGCTTCCTTCGGTAATAGGCTAAACGCACCTTTTTTTCTTTCTTTTTTTTAGCAAGACCTTATCGAGAGATCCATCTCATTATTTCGCCAGCTATACACACCAGGCCGTTATCAGGTACATAAAAAGAAGAAAAAAACATGGCGAATTAGCACAGAAATGTGACAAATTATTTGGCAGAGCTCAGTACAAACAAAAAAAAAACCATTCATTTCGCGGGCTCCAACACGATAATCCACGACAGCCGGCAGAAGTGCAGTCAATCGTCTACATCAGCATTTTCCACGCTCGCAGCTCATCTGCATGAGCGTGTTAACAGAACATATACAGCTCATCCACAAAGGCACACAGCTAGCCGCGAATCAAATATCATTTAACCAAATATATACCCTCCCCGAATTCGGAAAAAAAAACAAAAGAGAGAGAGAGAGAAAGACAGGGAAAAAACAAGACTCAGAAAGACACTTTTTTTTATTGTACAAGCAGCAGCAGCAGGAGGTGCAGCAAGAGCATCAAGAAAGGCAAGCAGCATAATGCACAATCATATAAAAGTTATTTTCGCATCAATAAAATCATCCCCGCGTATCATACGAAAAGAAATGATCGGGGATCTCGAAAAATTGGCGCTATATTCGAGTGAGTGAAATGTGCTGTGTTTCGTGTGTGGGTGCAGATGAGGGTCGTCCTCCTGACGGGGGTCATTGTCGTCGTGGCGTGGTGGACGCCGCCGGCGACGAATGCGGCGCCCATGATGGGACTCGGGCGCACGGACGACGCCGGCCCGATGGGCACCGAGGTCGCATTTGACTCCGGAAGCGTCTCTGTTCCGGTTAATGCCGTGGAACCCGGCGACGACGACGATTCGAAAACTGCGAGGTAAGACGGAGAAAATGAAAAAAAAAAAAAAAATCGACAGCCAATATTAATAAATACGATGCAGTGCTGCACAACTCAGACATGGCCAAGGGCAATATTCCCGTACTCACTTAAGTACCTCAAAAAATAAAGAAATAAAAAAACAAAAAAGAGGTAAAAAAGACGGTGCGCGTCATTTAGTCGAGTAGAAATTCCCCAATACATTTTCTTTAATTTCAAACGTTTTCCCCCACTTGAAGATGCTTTTATTTCCAGTTATTTTTAAAAATGGTTCTCTGTTATTTCGCATGAGACAAAACATCAACATTGATGTCAATTTCCAAGTAGACTTGATGTATTTAGATTTTACCCGACGTAGTTTTCCAAATTTTACCTTTATTTAATTCAGTGCTTTGCATTGATTCACAATCATAATCATCCTGGCCTTGCAGACTTTTTGAAGAGAGGAGCAACATTTTAAATTTTAAAATCCATCTCTCAACATAAATTTTCGAATGGTGGTGACGTCACCCACATTAAAAATTATAAGGAAAGGGACCGCGGGATGTTTGAAGTGCCTCTGGGCCGGATTCGGCCCGCGGGCCGTAATCAATTATTCGACTGTCAAAAGGATACATTTTGGGATGTTGACCGCAGCACCTATTTTGGCATCAGTAAAAATAACATCCAAGTCACACAAAGAGAAGGAAGTCCCTCTTTGCTACAGGTAATTTTTTTAATTAGCTGAATGGATTGGAAAGTGCTGGGAAAAGTACTAAAGAATCTTTCTTACATAGATCTTATGGTTGGAAATATCTGTTTCTTGAAATTATGCCCAATAAAAGTCAATTTTTCTAAAATGTATTGGCAATTTTATCATGGAATGTCCTTGTGTCGAGTCAGTGTCCTTATGTTGGGTTTTTCTATGATTTTGTTATTGTAAAAAAATGTCCCTATGTCGAATTGTCCCCATGTTGAGGTGTCCGCATGTGGGGGTCTCACTGTATATCACTGGAAAGTCAGATGGCGAAATTGACTTTAGCATGGTGAAAGCACCTTTTTCCATGTAGTACAGCGTTTATTTTTTGTGAAAAAGTGGATGCCATTTGGTGATGGAAGTTTTTTTTGTTGGGATTCTGCTCATTGGGCTTTTATCTCAGACACGTGTTGATTTTAATTATCTCTCTTACAGGAATATGAATAAAACGTTACGTTGGGAAATTTAACATTTCAAAAGGTGAATAAAACAGCTTATAATGCATTTCACGATTAATCTTTTGTATTTCATGAACGTTTTTGGTTTCGATCGTGATATTCGTGAAATATAGAAAATTCATCAAGTTTAAATTATAAAAAAATCAAAATTTATAATAAAAACGTGTATTAATTGAACAATGATGTGCAATACTGAAAATAAGCTTCGAGTCGATGATTTTGGAAGAAAAATCGCAATTTGAAGGAATCTTTGATAGACGGTAGTCAATGAGAATAATATGAAGTTACTTTCTCAACAGGACATTTCATCACACGCAAATATAGATAAACTAGTTCGGAAAAAATCTTCTGATGAATAATTTTACAGAAAAACACTGCTTTCATACTTTATTCTATGACAGACAAACACACACACGCAAATGCTGTGCCTCATTTTACTGCGTTCAGCTTTTCCGACGCATTTTACAATGAATGAAAATCTAGCAACCATTTACAGGCGGGGAAGTCATTGATTTTTGCTGCATTTGAAGCTTTTTAGTTCTTACACAACTTGATAGGCGAAAAATCCTTCTTTTCAAGGAAAAACATTAAAAAACTATATTCAGCAAGACAAAACGTAGCGCATTTTTCTTCTATTATTAAATACGGCGTTCAAAGCTAACTGTGCCATTGTGGCACAGCTATTTAATGAAATATGCTTTTCATTAAATATTTCGAGAGCAGCTTCAAAATGTAAGGCAAAAATATTTGGCATTAATTCTCACGTATTTTTCAAGTTTTTAAAGACTGATCGAGTCAAATAAAATGCAGGAAAAGAACCGATGCGAAGGATATTCTATTTCGTTCAGCTGTTAAATTAAGCGTTAATTACCAGTAATTCCTATACCGCCTTAAAATTACGACCTACCTTCAAACAGGATCCCACATAAAACGACCACAATTTTCATCCGCATTAACATTATAGGAAAAAATTTACATCTCCGCGGGAAACTCCATGAAATAAAGGTCAATGAAGTCTCTCTCATGATCAAATAGGAATTTGCCATAATAAATCTCAACCTAATTTTATATAACGTCATCCGACCTCCACCGCCTGCTTCGAACTACTGTACTAGCAGTTTACTACAGGGTCATTAAATGCGCCAATATAAATGTGTGCGAACATAAAAAGTCGTCATGATTTTTCACTCGTCAATAATGAAAGAATACGTAAGAAATATCAGTATTCTCGTGAACTTGTAGCGATTACAGGTGGACTCTCTCTATATACACTACCAAAATTCAATGAACCAGAAGACATTTCCTTTTCGAGAGATTTTCGCTGTAAAGAACCCTTATACATATAGCGAGAAAATCCTATGAAAAAAATCCGTTATACATGGAAAACCGTTGTAGAAGAGCTCATATACCTGCGTATGTCATACAGCTGTCCAACAATCAAAAGGAAGTTTAAATTTAAAAAAAATTAAGGTATTACCATTCTGAATGCGACGTACAGTATATATGTGCTTCCTTCGGTAATAGGCTAAACGCACCTTTTTTTTCTTTCTTTTTTTTAGCAAGACCTTATCGAGAGATCCATCTCATTATTTCGCCAGCTATACACACCAGGCCGTTATCAGGTACATAAAAAGAAGAAAAAAACATGGCGAATTAGCACAGAAATGTGACAAATTATTTGGCAGAGCTCAGTGCCAAAAAAAAAAAAAAAAACCATTCATTTCGCGGGCTCCAACACGATAATCCACGACAGCCGGCAGAAGTGCAGTCAATCGTCTACATCAGCATTTTCCACGCTCGCAGCTCATCTGCATGAGCGTGTTAACAGAACATATACAGCTCATCCACAAAGGCACACAGCTAGCCGCGAATCAAATATCATTTAACCAAATATATACCCTCCCCGAATTCGGAAAAAAAAACAAAAGAGAGAGAGAGAAAGACAGGGAAAAAAAACAAGACTCAGAAAGACACTTTTTTTTTATTGTACAAGCAGCAGCAGCAGGAGGTGCAGCAAGAGCATCAAGAAAGGCAAGCAGCATAATGCACAATCATATAAAAGTTATTTTCGCATCAATAAAATCATCCCCGCGTATCATACGAAAAGAAATGATCGGGGATCTCGAAAAATTGGCGCTATATTCGAGTGAGTGAAATGTGCTGTGTTTCGTGTGTGGGTGCAGATGAGGGTCGTCCTCCTGACGGGGGTCATTGTCGTCGTGGCGTGGTGGACGCCGCCGGCGACGAATGCGGCGCCCATGATGGGACTCGGGCGCACGGACGACGCCGGCCCGATGGGCACCGAGGTCGCATTTGACTCCGGAAGCGTCTCTGTTCCGGTTAATGCCGTGGAACCCGGCGACGACGACGATTCGAAAACTGCGAGGTAAGACGGAGAAAATGAAAAAAAGAAAAAAAATCGACAGCCAATATTAATAAATACGATGCAGTGCTGCTCAACTCAGACATGGCCAAGGGCAATATTCCCGTACTCACTTAAGTACCTCAAAAAATAAAGAAATAAAAAAACAAAAAAGAGGTAAAAAAGAAGGTGCGCGTCATTCAGTCGAGTAGAAATTCCCCAATACATTTTCTTCAATTTCAAACGTTTTCCCCCACTTGAAGATGCTTTTATTTCCAGTTATTTTTAAAAATGGTTCTCTGTTATTTCGCATGAGACAAAACATCAACATTGATGTCAATTTCCAAGTAGACTTGATGTATTTAGATTTTACCCGACGTAGTTTTCCAAATTTTACCTTTATTTAATTCAGTGCTTTGCATTGATTCACAATCATAATCATCCTGGCCTTGCAGACTTTTTGAAGAGAGGAGCAACATTTTAAATTTTAAAATCCATCTCTCAACATAAATTTTCGAATGGTGGTGACGTCACCCACATTAAAAATTATAAGGAAAGGGACCGCGGGATGTTTGAAGTGCCTCTGGGCCGGATTCGGCCCGCGGGCCGTATGTTGTGCAGCACTATAAAATGTAAGTTTATTTTTTCGCAAAAATAATTGAAATTTGAATGCAGAACCTCGCAAAGAAAAACTCACCTGAGATGCCTGTCATTGCATTTGTGAAGCGAAAAGCAGTGTAAAAGATTCTCCGAAGCATCTTGAGTGTGATCCCATGGAGTCCATATTGCATTAAAACCTGAGTCCTGGAAAACTCGAAGACAAATAAAGTATTAATTATTCTACACAGATTGCTCATTAACTATTGACGAATTCCCGCAGCATAACGAACAAAAGGAACTCTAGCACAATTCAAGTGAACATCCCCTTCCCCATAATTAGGCCAACAGAAACAGAAAAGACTTCCACCCCCCCCCCCATAATTAGCCCAACATGCAGAAATAAAAAAAATTCAACGAAAAACGAAATTAGCACACTGTCCACATCACATCCAGGTATTCACGAAATTGTAGGACATGAAAAATGTATTCCTCCAGATTTCAACCTGCGTCAAATTTCGTCAATATTTATCGAAAAATAATGAGCTGAAAGGTATTCTCATCTAAATTTGTAGCAAAATTTTCCGCCATATGCAAAATACGAACTCATCATTAAAGTGTGCGTCGTTGAAGCTGCTGTATGTGGGTACACATTAATGAATAGAGAACATCATCTGAAAATAACAATACTGTACTTCTTTTCCTCGCAAACATAGACATTAGATCCGATCTAATTTTTAAAAAGCCGTTTTTATATCCCCCAGACCACACGTATCCTGTCACAATGAGAAGAAACAAAGAAAATCTCGACACATAGATTATTTTTCAAATAAAACTCCTAATACACTTTCCAAAGTACAACGAAAAAGAAAAAAAAAACTTCGGGTTTAGTAATGGATCAAGCTGAAAACACGCAAAAGCGGCGACTGAAAGACCAACTCAGTGTTCCACTATTTAATGCGGAGATTGAATTTTAAAATAAACGTGAAATATTCCAAGCTGTCAAATACGAAGAAATAAAAATCGCTGTTAAAAACCCTGATGGGCCGCTGGAAAAAAACTTCCAGCATCATCGCAAAATCCAACGCAACTTTCTTCCAAAATGCGATAGAAACTTTTTCTGATCGCCGATGAGTTGCGAAATACTGTATTTCTAAGACTAATTGAAAACCCATCCTTCTCTATTTTAAGCAATCCTTCGCTGTTTAACTACACATTGGTCTATTTCGGAAAGAAAATTAGTCCTGCAGGATGGATATCATATGTGCGAAGATGCCATGGTGTTATGTACATTAATGCAAAAATTGGGCATCGACCACATGGGTTGAAAACAGCCTTTCATAGTTCACAATAATTTCCAAATTTTCGAAAAAAAAAAACAATCGTCCAAGGACTTCCAATGACGGGTGAGGAACTCAATAATGCATTTCGAACTATTTTACTGCCCTAGCTGCGTGTATTAGAAAAACTAACGAGAAAAAAAATCGAGTGCAACATTATAGCAGCTGACGGCACCAAGATTATTGAATCCTCTTTCCAATTTATGAGATGCTTCGTTTTTAACGTTTACATCCACAATTTTACATAAATTTTGACAATTACTCCAAGCTAACCGTTCATGAACAAAATGAGCAATGCATACAAAAACCATCAATTCTGTTAGAATTTCACAGCAGCATTCGATTTCCTGAATAAATTGAAAACACAAAAACTGAAGTTTTCCTTCTCTTTGAAAGGGGGAAACGATGGCTCGAGTTCCTCATAGGACACAATTTGCAAAACCCCTTCCTACCACCGGGACAGCCACTGTGGCCGAATGGGTTCGGCGGTTGGAACCCAGGGTTTCCAGGATTCCCAGGCGGGTTTCCCGGAATCGGAGGCGGGTTTCCCGGAATCGGAGGCATTGGTCTACTCGGATTGAATCCATTCCTCGGTCCTCCGGGCTTACTCGGACTCGGATAGA